TGAGGGCCACGGGCCCTGAGGCCGCCTCACTCCTACAGGACTCAGGTCACCTACGGAGTTAGCTGTAGCAATCACAGATTCATAGAATCCTAGAACTGGAAGGGAACTCGAGAGTCCAGTCCCCTGTATTCACGGGAGTTTATTCCAGTGTTTAACCACCCTGACAGGTAGGAAGTTTTTCCTAATGTCCAACCTAAACAACCCTTGCTGCAGTTTAAGCCCATTGCTTCTTGTCCTGTCCTCAGAGGTTAAGAAGAATATTTTTTCTCCCTCCTCCTTGTAACACCTTTTCAGGTACTTGAAAGCTGTTATCATGTCCCCTCTCAGTCTTCTCTTTTCCAAACTAAACAAACCCAGTTCTTTCAGTCATCCCTCGCCGGTCATGTTTTCTAGACCTTGAATTATTGTGTTGCACTTCTCTGGACCTTCTTCAGTTTGTCCACATCTTTCTTGAAAGGTGGTGCACACAATATTCCAGTTGAGGCCTAATCGGCGCAGAGTAGAGCGGAAGAATGACTTCTCATGTTTTGCTCACAATACACCGGTTAAAGCTTCCCAGAATGTTTGCTTTTTTTTGCAAGTGTCACACTGCTGACTCATATTTAGTCACTATAGTGGCCCACTATGTCCCCTAGATCGCTTTCTGTAGGACTCCTTCCTAGACAGTCATTTCCCATTCTGTATGTGTGAGACTGATTGTTCCTTCCTAAGTGGAGCACTTTGCATTTGTCCTGATTGAATTTCATCCTATTTACCTCAGACCATTTCTCTGGTTTGTCCAGATCATTTTGAATGATGACCAATGTTCCCTCTCAGTTTTTCCATCCATGTGTGGAATAAATTTTGTTATGTGCACCAAGGTATGTGCAGGTGTGCACCACCAAAAGAAACACACACTGTTGGCTGTGGGCGCTCAGCTGGGCAGCACCTTAATCTCTCCTGGGCAGCCACCCGAACGCTTATCTAACAGGGAACACTGATGATGACCCTATCCTCCAAAGCACTTGCAACTCTTCCCAGCTTGGTATCGTCTGCAAACTTTATAATCGTACTGTCTATGACATCATCCAAATAATTGATGAAGATATTGCACAGAACTGGTCCCAAAACTGATCCCTGAAGACTGGATCAAATGTCAGAAAAAAAACCTCTTTCAAAAGCCCCCTTATTCCTTGTGGAACGAGGAATACAGGGGCTTCTGAAAGCTTCCGAAAGAGTGTGTCTGCTCTTCCGCAAAAAAAGTGGAAGAGTAAATGCGTTCCTTGGATGCTGAACAGTTCTTCCAGGATAACCTGTGTAGTGTAGCCGTACCCTAAGAGCAGTTATCCAACCAATATATGTACCCACCTTTCAGTAGCCCCATCTACTTTGTATTTCCCTAGTTTATTAATAAGAAAGTAATGCAAGACTGTATCAAATACTTTACTAAAGTCTAGATTAGGTATACAAGGGAGTAGTCAGCTACTCACATTCCCCCCACTTAGTGTCTCTGTATCAGAGGCAGCAGGGGAAGAAGCAGGAGCCAATGCTGGGGAGAGCTGGTTTAAAAGCTAGTTCCTTCCCAGCATCATCTCTGGATTGCTGCCTGAGCCCCTTGCTGCTGCCTCTATCAGAGGCAGCAGCAGGGGTGAGGGAGGAGCTGCTGCCATGAAGCAACCCCTGTCCACAGGGGGTCCCAACTCCCCGCTCGGCCCTCCCCGTGGACAGGGGCTGCTGCTGGCTGGGCAGGCAGCCTGGCTCAGTCCCTGCTTGCACCAGTCTGGGACCAAACCCTGCTGCAGCTCTGCAATTTAAAACACAGTAGGAGCCGGGGGGCAGGCTGCCCAGCTCTTATTACCTTTTAAACTGCAGAGCCGCAGTGGGGTTTGGTCCTGGACCCCGGCACGAGCCAGGACTGAGCCAACTGTCTATCAACTAATTGAGTAGTCGATAAAAATTCTATCAACTACTCGATTAGTTAAAAACCCGCTTCTTAACATCCCTAGTCTACAGATAGCACATCTACCACTTCCCCCTTATTCACGAGGCTTGTTATTCTATCAAAGAAAGCGATCACATCGGTTTGTTCTTTACAAATCCATGCTGACTGTTACTTATCACCTTATTATCTTCCAGATGTTTGAAGATGAATTCCTTATTTGCTGCATTATCTTTCCTGGCACAGAAGTTAAACTGACTGGTCTGTAGTTTCCTGGGTTGTTCTTATTTCCCTTTTTATAGGTGGGCACTAGATTTGCCCTTTCCCAGTCTTCTGGACTTCCATGACTTTTCAAAGATGGTAGCTAATGGCTCAGATACCCCCTCAGCCAGCTCTTTGTGTATTCTGGGATGCATTTCATCAGGCCCTGATGACCGGAAGACATCTAACTTTTCTAAGTAATTTTTAATTTGTTCTTTTCCTAGCTTACGTTTCTGAACCTAGCCCATTTTTCACTGGCATTCACTAGGTTAGGCACCCAATTGCCCCCAATCTTGGTGAAAACCGATACAAGGAAGTCATTCAGCACCTCTGCCATTTCCACATTTTTTATTATTGCTCTTCCTCCTTTATTCAGCAATGGGGAAGGTGGGCAGCACCTGGCCTCTCCCTTCTCCGGCTGCAAAAGCAGAAGAGAGTGGGGGTCTGTGGATTGGGGCTGAGGGGCGCAGGCAGAGCTAAGTGAGAGGCTGGCACAGCATCGGATCAGGGACTGACCAACCCGCTATCCAGCCCCAATCTCTCCTTCCCATATCCAGCTGCGATGGGGGAATCCAATCCCTGTATTCTGCCCCTCAGGGGCATCCAGTCCCTATATCCTGCCCTCCTCTGGCCTAACTCCAGTAATTACCCCCCCCCATCAAGGCCCGCGGGTGCCCCCTACCGGTCATGTGCAGCTGGTGCAGCTTGTGGTAGACCAGGGCCGCGTCACGGGCGCTCTTGCGCACGTCAGCCTTCAGCTCGCGGTCTCGCCGGAAGCCTCCGGCTCGCCCAGCCAGCCAGCGCCCCACCCACAGGCGTTGCAGCAGGTGGCGGATCAGGTTCCACATGAGGCTGCAGGTCAGGTCGAAGTTGGAGGTGGGGAGCGGGCGGCCCAGGGCCTTCAGGGCAGGCCGCTGGGAGGCCTGGGCGAAGTCCCCCTGCCAGCACGGAGAAGATGCAGGGTGTCAAGACCCTGCTTGCGGGGTGGGGAGTCCCACTGCTGAGTATCAGGCCTCTGCCAGGGCAGGGCTTTCCCTGGGAAGTTGGGAGCTGGGCAGGGCTGGTGGGGAGGGCCAAGGAAGGATGGCAAGTGGGCAGAGAGGGGCGGGGCCTGGCAGGAATTGGGGGTGGGGCTGTGCCAGGTAGGAGCTGGGCCCCCCCAGGCAGATGCACACGACTCTGGGTTGGGACCCGCCCGCGGCCCCTTACCCAGGGCTCCGCCAGCAGCTGTATTCCTTACCCGCGCCAGGTCCAGGTCCGCCTGCTTGCGGTGCCTCCAGAAGAGGACGGACGACTCCGAGTAGGGGCGGGTGACCGGCTCGCCGTAGATGAAGAGCCGGACGAAGGCTCCCAGCACGACGAGCACATTGAGCCCCCAGAAGATCAGAGTGGGCCAGCTCGAGGCCTCGTCTGGGCAGGGGGCGCAGAGAGACGGAGGCCAGGGACAGTGTTAGCACCACATCACAGCCCCCGAGCGCCCGCCCCACCGGCACCCGGAGGGCCCCCCGTGCTACGGAGCAGGGGCTGTGGGACCACATGAGGCCACAGACCACACACAGCCCTCCCCCCAGCTGCTCCTGCCACAGCCCTGGACAAGCAGCAGAATCCCGCCCCCCCCAGCCCTCCAGCCTGGCCCCGATAACCCCAAACCCCAGGTACCCTCCTCTCTGGCCCCCGTCACCCCAACCCCCAGCTACCCTCCTCTCTGGCCCCCGTCACCCCAACCCCCAGCTACCCTCCTCTCTGGCCCCCGTCACCCCAACCCCCAGCTACCCTCCAGCCTGGGCCCCATTGCCCCAACCAGCCCCCCAACCCCTGGCTACCGTCCAGCCCTCCGCCCATCACCCCAGTTACCTAGCCCCCTGCTATGCTATGGCCTGACCCCAGGGAGCTCTGGCCCTGATCACCCCCTGCAGCACTAAATCTCTTGCCCCAGGGGCTGTTCTGTGCCATTCCCAGCACTTACCTCCGGCATCCGGCTGGCCCATTATGTTCCTGCCGAGGCTGAGGGAGCCCCTGCTCTCTGGGGCGCCCTCGGGGCTGGCGCCTCTCAGCAGGGAGGCCAGGGGGTTGAAGGAGAGGCAGAGGAAGACGAAGGCGCAGAGCGCCATGCGCGAGCGATCCAGCATGCCCAGGCTGCCAGGGGACAGCAGCTGCTGCTCCTTTTACCCCTGCAAGCCAAGCAGAGAGGCAGGCGTGAGTCCTTGCTGCCACAGCGGGTCTCCTCTAGCTCAGCAGGAGGGGAACCCCCCGGGAGCGCACCAGGCCAGCTGGCAGGCAGGGGCCAGACCAGCTAGGGGGAAAAGGACCCATGTCACTGGCCAGTCATCAACATGGAGCTGTGACGTAGGCCAAGGGATCTGATGCCAGGGCTGCTCCTTTTGGAAAGCCAGATCATGCTGGGAAGGAGGAGAGCTTTGAGCTCAGGGCTGCAAGCCAGGCCTCTTTTCCCAGCGTTGCACGCGACGTGGGCAGGTCACAGCCCCGGTCTGTGCCTCAGTTTCCCCTTCGAGAGCAGGCTGCCACTTCCCCACCCCCCCAGGAGAGCAGAGGTGGCGCAGGGCCGGGAAGGTGAAAGGCACTCAGCTATGACTAGGGGACTGGGACTGCGCAGATCTGTCATCCCCCAGCTCAGGCCAAACTGGGCCCCAAAGACCCTGGTGACAGCCCAGAGCCTCCACGCCTGCTGGGTGGGTGACAGAACAGGCCCAGGGACTGTCATCACGGAGCATGGCTAGAGCTCGCCTTGGGTCAGGTGTCGGACCCCACCCCGTCCCTAGCGCCATGTGGGCACTTGCCAGCCCCGGGCTCCAGGCTGGGGTCCCACCAGAACCATCTCCTGCCCCACCCAGCGCCCCTCATCACGAGACCTTGGTCTCCTCGAACAGTGGGCTCTCGGGCTCCGAGTCGCTGCTGTTGCTGCTGCCGCAGCTCAGCGAGAGGGGGCTGCTGTGGGAGGGGGAGCCCACGTCCGAGGGCGGGGGCGTCAGCATGTCCATCATCTCCGGCTTCGTCTCCTCCATGGGCACGTCCGGCTTCCCGCTGCATGTGGCCACCAGGTCCTTCAGGGACTCTGGAAGCAGAAGGGCATGAGACCATGCTGCCACTTACGGCTCCCCTGGGGCGACCCGCAGCGGGGCCGCGCCCCGGCGGTGTT